TGTAGGCAACAAATGAGAATAGGACCTGCTTTTGATGAGATGCTAATGTTTTAATTTGGTTCTTCTGACCTCCATTTAAGCTCAATCTGGACTTCAAGGTTCTTTTAAACTTTATGGTCAGTGCACACATGATGATATGGCAGCAGAACTCCTAGCTCTGAGCTGCACTGGTTCAAACCTTCCAGCAGAGCGTCTGAGGCATGATTGTTTAAGTCACAGTTATGATGCAGACTCAAAGTGCTGAATGGCTTACTCCACCGATTTTCTATGTTTACATCACAGTATGCCTCAGAGGCTCATCTCCATATTCATTAAACTCTGTCTCTATACAAAGTGCTGCACTGGATGCTATTCCATTGCATCCATGCATTAAAAATAAGTTGTAAAAGTAAAATCTGTCCTTCATGCCTACCAATGGCACATCTTTTATGACTTTCAGAGTTCAAAAGCTTTCTGTTCAACTCTTTCCACTTAACTAACCCAACATGAGCCATGGATTAAAGCAGCAGATTTCATGAGAAGAACTAAACTACCCATTGCAATGATTGAGTGGAAAACATTCAGTATCCTGAGAATTGGACTTCAATTGGACCAGACCCAAAGTCTGCTTCCAAAGTGTGTTCTGTAGCTTTTTAATTTCCATTGGGGATTTAAAAATGTATTTAAATATCCTTCCTGTCAAATAAGATGTTCACATCACCTGCATTGCTAAAACTATCTTTAAGAAGCAAAGCTATTTCATGAACAATACTTCTCAAACCTCCCAATGACTCTCAACTATCTGTGAAAGGCAAATCATATAGAATTTGAATACTGCCTTAATTTCTTTCGTACTGAAGGCCACGAGATGAAAAATCATTTCCAGTTCTCATTCTCTCTCTTTTCTTTGTCTCATTTGCAGCTTTTCTTTGACCTTATTTAACATACATTTTTCACCATGGCTTTCCTCATCCATTTTAAGTGTTAAATATGCTGGTCTTCCTACATCACATTTTATTAGAACGAAGACCCTTGCATAGATCACTTATTCTGACTCAGACTTTCCTAGGCCCTCAAAACTGCATGTGATTGCCACCTCCCCTAAATTTCTTTCTCGTCAATAGCTATGTTTGAATTCACGTAATCTTTAGTTCTGATCTATGGAGTTTCTGCTTGAACTTCCATCATGTCAGTTGCTACATTTGGATTTTTTATATAATCGAAAATGACAGACCCTTGCACATTTCAGATTTGAAGAAAGCTAATGCCAGGATTTCTTAGGAATTTTGCCAGTCTCCCATAGATTATTAAAGGAGACCTGTGAAACTTCTGGAAAGTGGTAGCAATTCAGTCATATAATTTATCCAGTGTTTCTGGGAAACTCCATCCATCCCTTTCAAGATGAATGATGACAGAGGAAAGACAGGATTAATTTATTATACTGAGAGCTCCCATTCCTTGACTAAGTTAGGGCTGACATATTACTGGAAAGTGATTTAAGGGTATATTTGGTATATCAGAAATAGAGGTTAAATGATACCTTATATCAATTTTAACAGGCTTTTGAAGAAAGGAAGGTGGAAGAACCACCGGAGTTGTGTTTTCTGTGAAAGGATGAAATTTAATGTAGGCTACAGTGGTATTGTCCACTGATTGGAGATCCAGGCAGATCCCTGCATCACCAGTTTCAGGAAGGCCCATTGGATACAGTGCCAGTCTGGCATTTAGCTGTGAGCCACAGGCCTTTCCTCGGATCAAAGACGCCAGGGTTAATATACGGATCCCTGAGAGCTGCCATCTAATCAGAGACCAGTAGGTCTTAGACGAGTGATGGCAGAAGAGAGGTCACAGGATTCAACAGGAAAGGCCGGGGGTAGCTTTCAGTTGACTGTCCCTGTATGTTGACTGCCTGACAGTGAGGCGGTGGCATGGTGGTAATGTCACTACACCTGTAATCCAGAATCCCAAGCTAATAGATATGGATCCCAGCATGGCAGACAATGAAATAAGCTAGCCTAACAGTACAACTGTGTAACTGCTTTCTATTGTTGAAAAACCCATCTGGTTCACTCATACCCTTTAGAGAAGGAAAGCTGTCATTTTTACCTGGTGTGGCCGATATATGACTGCAGAGCCACAGCAATGTGGTAGCCTTTTAACTGCCTTCTAGATAAATAGAAATGGGCAAAAATGCTAGCCTAGCCATTGATGCCCACATGAACAGAGAAATAAGAGAGACCACTGCCCCTACCCACACCAGCCCTAAAAACCTGCAACGGACAGTCTTTTTCTTCTTATCCATAACAGATTAGATGAAAATTTCACTCTTGCTATTCCAGTGAAAATAATGACCAAATTGAATTTTGCTCTGATCTCTGACTCAGTCGAATTGTAAATGTAAATTGTACTTTTGTCGCTCTATTTTATAAATGAGGCTTTCAAAAAATGACTCCTACTCAATTTGGGAGATATTTCACCCACAACTTGAATCGTAATCAGTTTGAGTTACAACATTTTCTTTATTATTACTGGAATGCTTCATGATTCATTTTTTTAGCTGCTGAACAGTGGTCAGTTTGAAGGTTAGCAATTTCTATCCGTAATTTACGTCGATTACTGTACAGCATTTTAACCTCAAAGAAGCTTCCACTGCTAGGATCTTACAGTTTACTTTTATCTCTCTTGAGCTTGAGCACCAAACTTATGTGCTTGTGCTAGTTGTTGAGTCATAAGGCACTTTGCTTTTTAGTGCTTCATATGAGTCAGTACCAGCTGCGGTTGAGGCCTTAATTTGGCACTTGGAATAATCTTATTCTATCCTTTTGTGTCTTTCATTCATTTATCACTCCCAAATCATTTTATGATTCACCGTATCAAATGATGTATACTCTAATTCTGTAATTAAGTATTTTATTTACACTTCAATGGCGTGGACTCTCATTGGCAAAGCCCTAACTCTTTGCCAATCCCTAATTAATTTTGAACTGAGTGGCTTGCTAGACAATTCAAAACAGCAGTTAAGAGTCAACCATGTTGCTGTGAGTCGGGAGTTACTTGTAGGCCAAACTAGGTAAGGGTAGCAGATATTGAGACAAAACTAGGTGGGAATGTGTCTTGAGAGGAAAATGTAAAGTGGCTTCAAGTGGATTTGGACAGACCTAGAGAGTGGACAAGAACATGGTAGATGGAATACAATGAGGAAAAAATGTGAGGTTATTCATTTTGGTAGGGGAAACAGAGGTGCAGAATATTTTTGAAATGTTAAGAGGTGGAGCAGTGTAGGTTGAAAGTGTAAATGTACAAAGGGAGCTGGATATCCTCATCACTACATCATTGAAGGCTAATATTGAGATAAGACAAGCTATTAGGAAGGCTAATGGAATGATAGCCTTTATCTGAAGAGGATTTGTGTATAGGAGTAGCAAAGTCTTTCTTATAGAAAAAATAATCTTGGTTAGACCACACCTGGCGTACTATGTGAAATTTTGGTCTCCTTATCTCAGAAGATAGAAACTGTGTCTGAATTGTCTAAGAGTTTCAAAGAATGAAGGTGATCTCATATACTAGTAAGATGTTTCCCCTTGTTGGGGAGTCCAGGGCCATGGGACAAAATAAGGGGTAAGCCACTTAAGACCAATACAAGGAAAATTCTTTTCACTCAGAGGGTTGAGAACCTTTGGAATTCTCTACCCAAGGGACTGTGAAAAATCAGCTTTTGAATAAGTTTAAATTATGGATTGACAGATTTCTAGATACTGATGACATATAAGGGATATAGGGCATAGTGTGGGGTAAAGGTACTAAATTAGATGATCAGCTAGAATCATATTGAATGACATATCAGTTCAGTGGGCTGAATGGCCTAATCCTTTTCTATTGTTCTTAATCAGAAAGAGGAGCATCCAACTCTGATCAAACAATCATCATGGGAGTGAGCCTTTTCAGGGAAGGATATTCTCCCCAGGAACAAGCAGCTATGAGACAAGCTGACAATAATAACTTGCATGCATATCATTAAATGGCCTAACGATATTAGAGATAATGGTTTAAATGTGTGTACAGAGTCTGATGAAAGTAGGACAGACTTAAATTATCACAGTTTTGTTCATAAATTATAATTTTCTTTGTTGACCATGTATATTGAGTATCATGGGTAACTTGAAACTGTAAATGATAATGTACAGGTAGTTCTGCTATAACGCGTGTTTTGTTAACACAAATTGGCAGTAACGCGATTGATGAATAGTGGACATTGTTTAGATAATGCGAACTTTCTGCTGTACAGGTATAGCGATTTCTTTATAATGTAATTTTGTATAGCGCAAGGTCACACAAGAATGCAACTATCACGTTATAGGAGAACTACCTGTATGCAATTCTTTGGTTATTTTGTATAAAAAGGGATGCTTGGGGAAATGCATTCGTCCATACCGGACAAGCTAGCTTGCTGTAGTTATGTGACCTGTTTCTCTGCTTTTACTTTCTTTTAATTTAGTTTATGGCAACCATCAAACACGTTAGTTCAAACACAGACTACAGAGGGACATGGGGAGGATGGTACTGGCTGATGGGTGGTATTGTGGGCAGAGCTGGGAGAAAGGGAGGGGACAGCCCTGAGTAGCTAGCCTTCCAGATGACAGATCACTCCATCAGGATTATGGGGAACAACTGGAAAGTGGAGTTAGGGCCATGATCAAATGAGTCATGATCTTATTGAATGGTGTAGCAGGCTCAAGAGAGCAAATGACCTACATCTGATTCTATTTGTTATGTTCTTACATTGATCACACAGTGCTATATACAATTGTCTATTAATGCTGTCATGAGAAATACAAAGTGCTTCAAATCAAAAATAAAAAGAGAAAAGTGCTGACTAAAGTTTAACTTAAAATTGTTAAGCCATTGTTTCTATTTCCAGATGCTGAGTGACTTGCTGTGTACTTTCAATGTTCTATTTTTAATGCCGACATAGTAAGGGTAGTGATTTCAGTTTAGAATTATGTTTTCCTTTTCCTTCACAGAATGAGACTGAGCCTCATTTAGTTTACCAGGTCATTGGCCATGATGTTCCTTTGCAGTTTCTACAACTTGGTAAGATCACTGGGATGTGCAGTATGTTTCAGAATTATCAAACAGAACCTTAGCACATTTGTGAAGAGTTAACTGGCTTGATAGTGTAATTTTGCACCAAAGGCACATATGAGCACATATATGAGATCAAAGCTGATTCTGTATGGTGAAATTCTGACATTACATATACTACACTTGATATTACATACTGTAGCACAATAGCTTAACCCACTCATGAACTCATAGAAATGCAATGACCTAGAGGTTTTATCTCTAGACCATTAATCCTGAGACCCAGGTAATGTTCTGGGGACATGGGTTCAAATCCCAACATGGTAGATGCCATTTGAATTCAATTGAAAAGAAATCTGCAGTTAAGAGTCTAATAATGATCATGAAACTGTTGTCAGTTGTCAGGAAGATCCCATCTAGTTCACTAGTATCCTTTAGGGAAGGAAACTGCTGCCCTTACATGGTCTGGCCAACATGTCACTCAGGACCCACAGCAATGTAGTTGACTTTTAACTGCCCTCCAGATAATTAGAGATGGTCAATAAATACAAGCCTAGCCAGCGATGCCTGTGTCCTCTGAATGAATAAAAATAAAGTCTATATCATGGCTTGCTTCCAGACAGGTGAAATAAACCACTAATTTATTATTGGCATTTTACACCACTGCATAGTCAATAGAACCTTCATAGTTTCTTATACACTGACTTAAGTATTTGTTGTACTTTGCGCAGAAAGCTTTAGGGGTAGAACAGTTTCAGTGCTTCACCGTGCAGTGTGCACCCCACCAGCAGGCTGGAGGCTGCTGCAAATTGAGTCTCGGGCCATCGTAACACGTCTGTTTTAGGCAGTCACCAGAAGGCTTACAAAATGCTTCTGACTCATTTAGCAGTGACCTAAATGATCCTGCCAGGCCATCTCACTGATAAATTGATCAGTATTGCACGACATTTTTGTTTGAAGTACCGACACAATGCATACCAAATTTCTGGCTCTTCGAAGAGTAGGGACTAAGGAACCGTACATTAGTCCATCCACTTGGTGGGAACATTATGGGATACAGGTAATTGAAGAAACATTTTTTTTTAGATAAGCACTTTTGCTGTGTATTTTTAAATGATACATTCTTGAAAATTATTAATTTATAAAACTAGAAATTATTGTTATTAAAACTGGCAGACTAAGAGAACATACAGCATTATATCCCAATTAGTGTATATTCCACTTAACAGACAGGTGCTTTAGCTGCCAGTAAAAATAATTGGATTAAAGTTGCAGCAGAGTGGTACTTGAATGAGAAATAGAGCAACTCAATTTTAACTCTATTTCCTCCTGGAAATTTCTCTCATTTTTGAAGAAAGAAGTCATGAAGTAGTACTCTTTGAAATAACTATTATATTAGAATCTTCGAGTGGTGTTCCAAAGCCATTATCAGAAAAAAAAACTGCTCCATATACCACCAACAATATGTCCAGCATTTGATCTCAGTGACAGATGTGATTGATAATGTTGTTCTTGCTTCTGGTATGACAGCAATTTAAAAGCTAACCACTGAATTTCATTGAGTAATTAACCATAAATGTTAATATGAATAATGTTTTGTACTCCATATTTTTTTCAGAACATGCTGAGAGGAATGATCTGTTTGATGCTAGGCGTACTATCCTTTTTAGAAAGAAGAGACAGGTATGTTCAATATGTTTAGCAATAAATTTATCAATGTAATGTAGAAAGATTACAGCAAAAATTATCTTGCCTTTTGATACGTAACTGGAATTTCAGTTCATTTTCCTGTTTAATTGGAACTTTGAATTGCAGAGTACTGTGGGTGGCAATGAGAAAGGCTGTGGCAATTTTCAGCAAAGTCTATCTGAGTGGTTAGTATGGAGGTGGTTCAAGGTTGACAAAGATCATTGGGCCAGTTTTCCTGACCTCTGCCCCTGGTATACATTGACCAGTTTTTCAAAACTGTGACATATGGGGAAGGCAGAGCTCTGTCCATGATGGATATGTTAGACGACCAATGTTAACAATCTGGGTGTGGGATAATTGAGGTTATTTAATTACATAAAATTGGCATAAACACTAAGTCATATGAGAAGAAAATTACCAAGCACTGCTCCCACCTCTACTGTTGCAGCATATAGTCCAAGAATGTGGACTATAGTAGACAGTTAATGGTGAAAGTATACTTGTTTTTCTTTGGTTCAGTTTATCAAGGTTGGGTCATGGAGAGAGGGTCCATTGTATTTTACATTATCAGCAGTGAGAGTTGTGAATGCTTTCAGTGTGCAAAGCATTGAATGTGTTAGAATAGACCCTCAGTATGCAAGCACCAAGATGTCGCTACATGCTGAGGTTCTGCCTGCCCCCAGTGTTGTGAAGGGTGGTTTGTTCTCTTTGCCACAGTAAGCTGCAAGTAGTTGGATTGTACCTCGTAGAAGGTTTTGTACAGAAAAGCACCTTTGACCGCAGACCCATCGGGGAGTTGTCCGGACATGCCCTGCAGGGAGAGGAGAAGGTCAATCCTGTTGGATAGTTTCCTGAAGCAGATTGTCAAAATCATTTGGCAAAATGCCTCATTGCCTGAACTTTCCAACAAGTGCCAAGGCGTAGCCTAGCTGGTAGTAAGAAAGGCATGGCCTGTCTGATGTTTCATGTGTATCTGGGTACTGCAACTGCACCTTGCTGTTGAGATAGTTCCAGTGGTGAAGAGACTATCACAAGTCTTCTTCTGAAATGTACCTTCATCCGTAGCAGCTCCATGACACGGGACTTTGTGCTCTATGGCTGATCCCTGGGACGCACATCGAGACAAACATTAGGATCATCAACTCAGTGAAAGGTGTACTTTGCAATGTCTGAAACTTGATGATCTTCCATGCAAAGATTGCCCTTGGCCAAATGTTACAAACTGGCAGATTACAAGGTCCAGAGCTTTGTCCTGAGGAACGGACTGAAGCTTGGGACAGCTATTGCTGAGGCGCAGTGGGGAAAAGCCACCCTCGGAGGCCTTTCTGTCATAATGCACTGAGGGACTTTTAACCTATAGAACCCCTCATAGCCTTTATTAGAATATATATAAAATTTCTAATCATATTTATTTCACTAATGGTACAATTTTGCATTTGGAAGGAGGCACCTAGGAGTGCAGTTCTCAAATGAAAATATAGTATTTTCGTTGCATTTCTATTTTTAGCATAAGCAAGTATAGACAGTGCTAAAATAGTATTACCCCTATCTGTTCCCATGAACCTGGTGTTAAACTTGCAAAAACACAACTCCCTTTGTTAATATTTAGTTTTCTGATGTTAAAACGTAAGGTGGCTCTCAGTGGTCTTGTAGTTTCACCCTTCCCACTGTGGAATTCAGACAATGTGTCACTAAACACTGCACACACTTGTTTCTTTGCATTATAATATTTTCTCAGTTGACAGTTGCCTGTGGCTCCTTAGTTCAGTTGTGGCCAAATAATTAGCAGTTGCATACCATTAGTGTCTATCATTGCAAGCATGCGCTTACTTCTAGTAAATCTTATTTGCATCTTCCCTCTGGTTTTGGCATACATCCCAAAGGAACACAATACCAGTTGCAGTATTTAATTCTACATCTAACAAATCCTTTGCCCAAATATAGCATTATCATTTTGTTTCTGTACTCCACTGCCTTTAGATAGCCTTTAGATATAAAACTCAGATTCTCATATTTTTCCACTACAGCTTTATCAGTATGTCTTCCACTTTTAAAGATTTACATTTATCCATGTTTAATTCTCACTGTTGCTCTATTCCTCTAAATAGTATGAAACCATAAATATTAAAAGTTCTCTTTTAGACTAACTTAAACCTGATCCTTTTCTCCCCTTTCTCTAAAAGCTTAGGAGAAGCTATTTAATTACAAGGCAGCATAACAGCTCATGAGACTACACTCAGCAGAGTGTTGCCTCTTATAATATAAGAAATTTTGCTGGATGTGCATGTAAGACTTACACACATGCAATGCATTTCTATGCCTCTGTTCCTGTCTTACCCCACTGTTAGTCCATCTCTTGCCTCCCAGTAAACATCAACCGAGGACGCCCATTCATTTCTTGAAATTATTTGCCAGTCTTATTTGCAGAAGAACAATCTACATTCAACAGTGAGGGCAGTGCTTAGTTGAGTGCCAAGAGAGAAAAGTGTACATACAAAAAGGTGGATCAGATTTTGCCATTTGCCAAACTTTATATGATCATATAGTGATTCTGCATATTCCTCCAACACCATTCCCATATAATGTTCAAAGTCCAAAGTCTGGGCATCCATCAGTGTCAGATTCATTACCCACAAACCATTGACAAGCTTTCTTCTTTTAATATATCAATATTTTAGCATCTGTGCAGGAGTATTTATGGTGGTGTGCAGGATCTGCAAGAGACAGCATTTGGACTCTCTGTTGCAAACAGAGGATACAATTTTGCCCTATCTGTTAGTGGTGATAAAGGCATATAATGAGTGAGCTGGTTCCGGAGAGATACTCACCTCTTTCTTGCCCCCTCAGTAATTAAATGTTGGGCAGAAGATCCATGGGTGACTTGCTCAACTCACCACCAATTTAGGCCCTTAAGTAGTCAATTAGCAGCCACGTAAAGGCCTCAATTTATCAGCAGCCTAGTAACCTGCCTTTGTAGCAGATGAGAAATAAAAAATTCTTTGACCCTCTTGGATTAAAGGTCTGTTCTACTTGTGAAGACCAGCCTGTCTGGCAACCTGCACTGGTTTTAGTAATGTGAAGTCTTCTTTAGATTGTAAAAGTTCAGATAAAGCTTCATCTAGTAATGCAGTGTGGTCCCATATGAACTTTGTTCAATGATCCATGTTAACAGTTATCTGTGAGGTGATACATATTTATGAATGAATCAAAGGTTTCCCTGGCTCCTGGTTGTACTCTTTAACCTTTGGTGTATAAGAGAATTATACTTGCCTAAAATGGGAATCAGAAGTCTGTGTTATACCATGATTATATACAATTTCTTTATTAGAACATAAGAACATAAGAACTAGGAGCAGGAGTAGGCCGTCTGACCCTTCGAGCCTGCTCCGCCATTCAATAAGATCATGGCTGATCTTTTCGTGGACTCAGATCCACTTACCGCGTTCTCACCGTAACCCTTAATTCCTTTATTGTTCAAAAAAAATCTACCTTTTCTTTAAAAACTTTTACTGAAGTAGCGTCAACTACTTCACTGGGGAAGGAATTCCATATATTTTTGCCCTATTTAATGAAAATGGTAATGCCAATGCTGTCAATCATACACAACACCCTGATCTGGCCTTTATCCATCTTTTTATTGATACTTGAATCAGTGTGCTATCTGCTAAACCATGGATTTCATTTGTTCCAATTCATGGCCTGGTCAGGGACCTGAGCATAGTCTAGAGAGTCTGATAAAGTTTGGCCATGGTCAAGTGTATTTATTGTGTGGACATATGTGACTGATTTCTTTATCTTTATTGCAGTTTTTCTAGTATTCTGTAGGTGTCCGCTCTTGTACACTTTTGTCTCTCTATAAAGATCTCCAGTCTAAAGTAATTAATTACTCACTGTGGTTGGCTTTCTTGCAGCTTGTTGTATTCCTTGCTGCAGGCTTTTTGCACATTCTGTCAGTATTGTGTGAGTGTTCCCTCACCATGGTCCTTGATGTCCCTCATCCACTGCTCCCTGTTGCTGATAAGCCATTTTTCTGATTTTTTCCATGTATTCCTAGGCTGGGTTCACTCTGTAACTTTGTAACTTACCCATAACTTTGTATTACTACATCACTCCACACACTATTTGGGGCGGCACGGTAGTTCACTGGTTAGCACTACTGCATCACAGCGCCAGAAAACCGCGTTCGATTCTACCCTCAGGTGACTGCGTGGAGTTTACACATTCTCCTCCTGTCCGTGTGGGTTTCCTCTGGGTGCTCCAGTTTCCTTCCACAGTCCAAAGATGTGCAGGTTAAGTGGATTGGCAATGGGAAATGCAGGGTTACAGAATTAGGGTGGGGATCTTGGGTCTGAATGGAATGCTGTTTGGAGGGACGGTGTGGATTTGATGGGGTTAAAGGCCATCTTTGGAGATTCTATGATTTACCTCATGTTTGTTTGTGTTGTCAACATTATCACCATGTATTAAGATCATGTCCACAATCAAGTGAACATTGATGGGCTTTATTGAACATAGCTGTATAAAAAGGACATTTCTGTGACCTTACAGACCCAGGATCCAGTTCCATGTAACCTGATGTCATTATAAAATAGCATCTTATGCACATGTTCAGTAGCTATTCTGAGAGTAAAGTTTTAATTAACCCTTAACCCCATAAAGGGAGAAGATAACTTTACTGCTTAAACCTTGCCCCCTTTACTTTTCCTTTGCTTTATCAAGATGAGCTCAGACATAGCCAGAGATAGGAAAATAAACTGTGAAGAGGACTCTTGGAGGCTACAAAGGTTACAAACGGATTATAGGGTGGGAACATGTGAAATTGTCCTTATTGGCAGGAAGAATAATAAATGATGAGAGATTGATGAGCTCTAAAATGCAGAGGATCTGACTGTACTCATGCATGAATTGCTAATATCAAGATGGACAACATGAGCTTCTTTAAATATATAAAAAAGAGAGTCCAAAGTAAACATAGACCCCTCAGAGAATGAGAT